CTGCTAGCTGAGGTTAAACCACGACGGAAGCCTTCGTCTTCCTTTCAAGAATATTTGAAGTGGTCAGGTGAGCAGCCTGGGTTTGGTACAGGGATACCGACATCTTGGTCAGTGCTTATCTGTTGCCCGTGAACGGTGCTGCTTTAGCCAGGCAGAGGATGTTTATTTTAATGCATGGAGTTATGTGCAATGTCATCGCTCCTCTTTTCCGGCAGTGCGGTGACCGCAGGCGTAATGGGTCACTGGGGACATCATCCCAGGCTGAAGCTGTGGCGTTGTTTGGTGGGAGAGAGGATGTTCCTCCGGGAGCGTTTCTCGAGTGATGCTACTCAGAGGTGCCCTTGCAAGTTGGATTTCTAAAGCAGTTTCCTGAGCATGCCTGGAAGTAGTTAAATCTGGGAAAAATGTACGTAGATGAAGGAGAAACTGTTTCATGTCCCTGATTGCGTAAAAGATTTCTGTTATCTTATCGTTCTCGGGAAGGAATGTGGGCTGAAGTCAGGTCCGGGCATTTGCAGTTCAGTCCTTGCTGATGTGAGGCTCATCCAGCTGGCTTGTTCATGGCCAGACAGGGTGTTGCAAGATTGTGCTCAACAATACTTTTGCCTCAGTTTTTGGTGGTAATCTTGCTTCCCGCATCTTTCAAGCCCCCAAAACTCAAGGAACTGGGGGCATGAAATCCCTCCCACTGTAGGGGATCGGGTTTGTGACCAGCTGAGGAACCTGAATGTACGTAGGTCCATGGGACCTGACGAGATGCACCCTAGGGTAGCCCAGAGGCTGGAACGGCTTTCCTGGGAAGATGGGCTGCGGGCTGGGGAGGCTCAGCCTGGAGGAGAGAAGGCTCCAAGGGACACCCTGTAGCAGCCCTTTGGTATATAAAGGGGACTTGTAAGAAGAGACTTGTTACAAGGGCCTGTAGTGACAGGACAAGGGGTAACGGGTTTAAATTGAAAGTGGGGAGGTTTAGATTAGATATCAGGAAGAAGTTCTTCCTGGAGAGGGTGGGGAGGCACTGGAACAGGTTGCCCAGAGAAGCTGTGGATGCCCCATCCCTGGAAGGGTTCAAGGCCAGGCTGGAGGAGGCTCGGAGCAACCTGGTCTAGTGGAAGGTGTCCCTGCCCATGGCAGGGGGTTGGAACTGGATGGTCTTTAAGGTCCCTTCCAACTCAAACCATTCTCTGATTCATTCTGTGCTTTATATCACTTGAGAACCTGTTTGAGCTGAGGTGCTGTGTTAGTCCTTGCTCCGAGTGTGAGCCAGAGTGGTTGGGAAACTCCGAAATTGGCAAGTGCCGGGTTCACCCAGGAGCGTCAACACTTAGGGGCTGACACCGTCAGCTGTCTCTACCCCACAATGCAGTAAGGTGGTAACATTTAAGAAATTGTATACTTTTTTCAGTAATTGCTGAGTTTTCAGACTTGTGCTGTTCACTTCCCAAGCCCTCGGAGAAGTCAGTCAGCTCTGCCGTGTGTGTTACGGAGATGAAAATATCTGCAAACGCGTTGGTGCACGTACACTGCAGCACACGTCCCTTAGGTAAATTGTACCTACGTTAAGGCCTGGAAAGCCACCTCCGTACTGTGGTGACTGCCTGGTTTCCTCAAGCTGTCAGGCTTTTTTTCATTTGCCCTTCCGGGTGAAGCCGTCATTGCGTGCTTGGCAGGGCAGCCTGGTGCGAGCTGCGAGGAGTTAGGGTGTTGGGCTCCGGCAGTTTGCTGATGCAGCCTTCTCCGTACACTGGGATGCGCTTGACTTCAGTGAACGGGAAGCTGTTTACAAGTGCTGACTCAGGGAAATAATCCCTGGATGGGCTTTCGGGTGCTGGCAGGGCAGCGTTGTCCTGCTGATGAGCATCTGCACCGGCTTGGAACAGCTGTGGCCAAGGGTGAGCAGTTCATAGTCGGCCACGCTTCACCTGGAAGACAGGAGCACTGCCGGGAGAGGCACCGCACGGACCGAGCATGGGCGCCCGGCCGCTGTCGGTTACGCTGCTCCTTACCCAGACGGCCATCGCGCCTCTCTG